AAACGCCACGAGGGTCAGGTCAATTTTACCCTTTTCACGCGCGTATAAGCACTCGCCTTCTAGAAGGTAAACTATTAAGACGTCACGTCACATCTACGGCAGTCCCACTTGTGGTGTGATTTGGGTGCATCGAATTTCTCCACAATATCGAATTTGTTCACAATTGAAGGTAATGAGGTGGAATTTATTATACATTAATTTGTTAATTTAAGTAAAAAAAAAATTATTTTTTTAAATAAAATTTTAATTTTAAATTTTACAAATAAAAAATTTTTTTTTACGAAATTTAATGTAATTTAATTTTAAATTACTGAAAATTTAATATAAATTTTAAATATGAAAATTTAATACTAAAAAAAAGAAGATATTGATGTGGGGGAGGTAACTCACGCGCGTGGATGCAACGTCCTGAATCTACCCAAAAGGCCAGAACATAGCAATTCCCACGTGGGTTTGACCCCATTTTCCGACCTTTTTTTTTTTTTTATATGAAAGTCATCGTTGGCGGCTTGACAGATCAACGGGCTGACACCACATCTCCACCACTCGATAATGCTAAATAAAACAACCCACTCACTATTTTCACATCTCTTTTGCTACCACCACGCCTTTTGCTGCAATCTTCCTTCTATGTTGCCTTTGATTTTTCCTCATCATGTTTTGATTTACACTCTATGAGTAAAAGAGAATCGAAATCTTCTTTTAAGTCAATCCATTGTGGAAATTTGTATGTGGAGGTAAAAAATAAAAATTACCATGACCAGTAGACTCGAGCTCCCAAAAAATATATATATGGTACAATATTTATTTATCTTACTTTTTTAAAATTAAAGAAATGCTTTAAAATTTTGTTATTTTAATAAATTTTTATTAAAAAAATTAAATTTTTTTAAAGTATGAATTAAATTAATTTTTATTATTTCTTGTAATAATTTATTAAAATAACATAATTTTAAAATATATTTTTTTAATTTTTAAAAAATAAGATGTATAAACACTTATATACACGTTGCCTTAAAACCAAGGTTTTTAAAATCGAACCGGATCGATCGATTAAACCGGTCGAATCGGTATCCGATGATGAAAACCGTTCAGTCTATATAAGAAAATCGTTTGATGTCAAAATTGATCAAAATCGGTCAAAATCAATAAAAACCAATAAAAACCGATGAAAACCGGTGAAATCGATGGAACCGAAAAAATCATCGGTTCGATTTCTCATGCAATCTTCTTTCACTTTTTTCCAATTTCACCCTTCTCATTCCTTTTTTATACGCATTTTAACCTTTAATTTTAACAAAATTATCAACACCAAATTAGAAAATCCATGCCTGCAGCTTGCTCCTCTCATCAAATCTTCCTTGCTGTTTGGATCGGTCGATTCATCGGTTCAATTGGTTGAACCGGTTAAATCAAGAACCAAACTTGAAAACGGTTCAATGATCGATCCGGTTTTAAAAACCTTGCTTAAAACTTATTGATATAGTAATTTGTAAATAATAATTAATGATTTTATCCAAAACATTAAGGATATGTATTCAATTAAT